AACCTAAACTATTCCATTATCATCCATATGTTTATCCAATGACCATTTAAATGCCCTTAAAGTGGGCGAGTCTACTATTTTTGCAGGCAGGGCATTCCACGCCCTTACTACTCTCTGAGTAAAGAACCTACCTCTGACATCTGTCCTATATCTATCACCCTTCAATTTAAAGCTATGTCCCCTCGTGCTAGCCATCACCATCCGAGGAAAAAGGCTCCCACTCTCCACCCTATCTAATCCTCTGATCATGTTGTATGTCTCTATCAAGTCACCTCTTAACCTTCTTCTCTCTAATGAAAACAGCCTCAAGACCCTCAACCTTTCCTCATAAGACCTTCCCTCCATACCAGGCAACATCCTGGTAAATCTCCTCTGCACCCTTTCCAATGCTTCCACATCCTTCCGATAATGCGGTGACCAGAACTGTACGCAATACTCCAAGTGCGGCCGCACCAGAGTTTTGTACAGCTGCAACATGACCTCATGGCTCCGAAACTCAATCCCTCTACCAATAAAACCGAGCATACTGTACGCCTTCTTAACAACCCTATCAACCTGGGTGGCAACTTTCAGTGATCTATGCACATGGACACCGAGATCTTTCTGCTCATCCACACTACCAAGAATCTTACCATTAGCCCAGTACTCTGTATTCCTGTTACTCCTTCCAAAGTGAATCACCTCACACTTTTCCGCATTAAACTCCATTTGCCACCTCTCAGCCCAGCTCTGCAGCTTATCTATGTCCCTCTGTAACCTGCAACATCCTTCCGCACTATCCACAACTCCACCAACTTTGGTGTCATCCGCAAATTTACTAACCCATCCTTCTACGCCCTCATCCAGGTCATTTATAAAAATGACAAACAGCAGTGGCCCCAAAACAGATCCTTGAGGTACACCACTAGTAACTGAACTCCAGGATGAACATTTCCCATCAACCACCACCCTCTGTCTTCTTACAGCTAGCCAATTTCTGATCCAAACCGCTAAATCACCCTCAATCCCATGCCTCCGTATTTTCTGCAATAGCCTACCATGGGGAACCTTATCAAACGCGTTACTGAAATCCATATACACCACATCAACCGCTTTACCCTCATCCACCTGTTTGGTCGCCTTCTCAAAGAACTCAATAAGGTTTGTGAGGCACGACCTGCCCTTCACAAAACCGTGTTGACTATCCCTAATCAAATTATTCCTTTCTAGATGATTATAAATCCTATCTCTTATAATCCTTTCCAACACTTTACCCACAACCGAAGTAAGGCTCACTGGTCTATAATTACCAGGGTTGTCTCTACTCCCCTTCTTGAACAAGGGGACAACATTTGCTAGTCTCCAGTCTTCTGGCACTATTCCTGAAGACAATGACGACATAAAGATCAAAGCCAAAAGCTCTGCAATCTCCTCTCTAGCTTCCCAGAGAATCCTAGGATAAATCCCATCCGGCCCAGGGGACTTATCTATTTTCACACCTTCCAGAATTGCTAACACCTCCTCCTTATGAACCTCAATCCCGTCTAGTCTAATAGACTGTATCTCAGTATTCTCCTCGACTACATTGTCTTTTTCCTGTGTGAATACTGACGAAAAATATTCATTTAGCACCTCTCCTATCTCTTCGGACTCCACGCAGAACTTCCCACTACTGTCCTTGACCGGCCCCAATCTTACTCTCGTCATTCTTTTATTCCTGACATACCTATAGAAAGCTTTAGGGTTTTCCTTGATCCTACCTGCTGAAGACTTCTCATGTCCCCTCCTGGCTCTTCTTAGCTCTCTCTTTAGGTCCTTCCTGGCTAACTTGTAGCTCTCAATAGGCCATTGTGCCTCCTCCCCCATTAAACTAGATCGTGGCTGGTTTTCTGCTGCATTGCCATTTTCTAGACCCATATACCCTTTATTTATTATTTGGACATCTATCAATTTTTGTCTTGATTTTACTAAGTGACTGAGCCTTCACAGCCCTCTGGAATAGCAAATTCTGAAGAAATTCCTCCTCTGTCCTTAGTCCAAGATGGCAATCCTCTTAATCTGATGGAGGGTTCTGAGGAATGACGTTTCCCAGGCTGGGGATTCTGATTTAAAACTAGGAAACACAGCCTCAGATTAAGGTCACCAGACCCAAAACGTTAACGTTGATTTTTTGCTTCACAGATGCTGCCGGACCTGCTGAGCATTTTCAGCAATTTCTGTTTTTGTTTCTAATTTATAGCATCAGCAGTTCTTCCAGTTTTCCCTTAATCTGAGATTGTGTTTCCGAGGGAAACATCATTCTTTCAACTGCCTCTTGACCCCTGTCGTAATTTAATACTTCAACGTAATGACCTTTCATTCTTGTAATCTCCAGTAGATACAGGCCCAGTCTCCTCAATCTCTTCTCGTAATCCTGCCATTCCCACACACATACACACGTGCACACACACACACTCACACCCCTGCCCCAAGGTGCTATTGAAGTGCTGTAGCAATACACTCAATGCAAGATGGAAAGGAAAAGCACTACCAGTCCATTGACATAGAACAAAAGAGAAGTACGGCACAGGAACAGGCCCTTTGGCCCTCCAAGCCTCTGCTGATCGTTGTGCCCTGACTAAACTAAAACACAAACCTTCTGCCCTTATTAGGTCTTTATCCCTCTATTCCTTCCCTATTAGTGTAACCATCCAGATACCTCTTAAATGTCACCAATGTGCCTGCTTCCACCACCTCCTCTGGCAGTGAATTCCAGGCTCCTACCACTCTCTGTATGAGAAACTTCCCTCGCACATGTCCCTTAAACTTTTCCTGTTCTCACCTTGAACTTGTGCCCCCTTGTAACTGAAACCTGGGAAAAAGCCTCTGACTATCCACCCTATCTGTGCCCAGGTCTCCTCTCAGCTGCCGTCTTTCCAGTGAAAACAATCCTAGTCTTTTTAACCTTTCCTCATAGCCAATGCCCTCAGGACTGGGCAACATCCTGGTGAGCCTTCTCTGCACTCTCTCCAAAGCTTCCACATCCTTCTGGAAATGTGGCGACCAAAACAGCGCACAATACTACAAATGCGGTCTAACAAAAGTTTTATATAGCTGCAACATGTTTTGCCATCTTGTGTACTCAGTGCCCCAGCTGATGAAAGCAAGCGTGCCATATGCCTTCTTAATCACTTTGGCCACCTGTGTTGTCACTTTTAGGGAACTGTAGACCTGCACGCCCAGATCCGTCTGTATGTTAATGTTCCTAAGGGTTCTGCCATTTACAGTATAATTCACACCTAAATTTGATCCTCCAAAATGCATCACCTCACATTTGACTGGATTAATCTCCATCTGCCATTTTTGTGCCCAAGTCGCCAATCTGTCTATGTCCTGTTGTATCCTTTCACAATGATCAGCACTATCAGCAACTCCACCAATCTTCATGTCATCTGCAAACTTACTAACCAGACCACCCACACTTTCCTCCAAATCATTTATATATACTACAAACACGAGAGGACCTAAGACTGATCCTGGTGGAACACCACTAGTTACCGGTCTCCATTCTGAAAAGTATCCTTCCACCCACTGCTACCCTCTGTCTTTTATGACCAAACTAGCTTTGTATCCATCTAGCCAGCCCATACTGAATACCATGTGATTTTAGTTTTTATACCAATCTGCCACGTAGGACTTTATCAAATGCCTTACTGAAGTCCATATAAACTACATCTACATCTCTTCCCTCATCAATTATCTTTGTCACCTCTTCAAAAAGTTCGATCAGGTTCGTGAGACATGACCTTCCTTGTACGAAACCACGCTGCCTGTCGCTCACTAGTCCATTTTCTTCCAAATGTGCATATATCCTGTTCCTCTGTATCCTCTCCAAGAGCTTCCCCACCACAGATGTCAGACTCTGTGACCTATAATTACCTGGGTCATCCCTCCTTCCTTTCTTAAACAAAGGAACCCCATTGGCTAATCTCCAATCCTCTGGAATCTCGCCTGTGGTCAAAGAAGATGTAAAGATATCTGCTAATGCCCCATTTATTTCTTCCGTTGCCTCTTGCACTAACCTGGGATAGATCCCATCTGGGCCTGGGGATTTGTCTACTTTAATGCAATTTAGGACACCCAAAACTTCCTCCTTTAATATATTGACATTCTCTAGAGTATTCACACATTCACCCCTGATCTCAACGTCAGTCATGTCCTACTCCTCGGTGAATACCGATACAAAATACTTATTAAGGATCTCACCCACTTCCTGTTGCTCCACACATAACTTCCCTCCTTTGTCCTTGAGGGGGCCTATTCCTTCCCTTACTACCCTCTTTCTTCTAATACATGCATAAAAAGCTTTGGGATTGTCTCTGACCCTGTTTGCTAAAGATGTTTCCTTTTAGCCTTACTGATTCTGCGTTTAAGTTCCTTCCTAATTTCTCCATACCCCTCAAGGGCTTTGTCAATTTGTCACTGCCTAGACCTATTGTATGCTTCCTTTTTCCTTTTGACTAAGTTTACAGTTTCCCTTGTCATCCATGGTTCCTGGATCCTGCCATTCCTATCCTTCAGTTTTGCAGGCACATGCATGTCTTGCACTTTAATCAACTGGTCTTTAAAAGTTTCCCACATGCCAGATGTAGTTTTGCCCTCAAATAACAGCTCCCAATCCACATTCCCCATATATGTCCTGTATAATTGTAATTTATTGTGTATCAAATCATATGCACTCTCCATTCAAAACCCAAGTGCAAGTTTTAATTTAAACTTCCAGTGAAACACTGAATAAAAAGGATTTGTTAATGCAAAATCATATTTTTGATATGACACAGTTAGACTGAACTGTTCACCTTTGAAGTGAGATTTCTGCCATTTCAGTTTACTTTTCATTAATCTGTGGCTTGTGTTTACATGAACACACAAGTATAATTTTTCGATGGAAGGTTTGAAAGTGCACTCTTGTAGATAGTGCATTTAGACTGTAGTTCAGCTGTTACATTTGTAGTTTTCTTTATACATTTTCTTGTATGCAGTTACCTCTTCTTCAGCAGTCTCAGCTCATGTTGCATCAGTAATTGTAGCTGTAGTGGAGGGGCGTGGGCTTGCTCGGGGTGAAATAGGAATGGCGAGCATTGACCTGAAGAGCCCTGAGTTAATATTGTCCCAGTTTGCAGACAACTCTACATACGCGAAGGTAATGCATTTAACAAATAAATCTACATTTGCTTACAGTTTCCCATGCCCTTCTTGAGATTATTGTACATTTACATAGAATCAGAGATATTAACAGCACAGAAGGAGGCTTGTTGTGACTGTGCCACAACTTCATGCAGTCTCTCATTCAGCTACTACTGTGTTTATGAGGAAGCTAGATGAGAAAGATGAGAGGAGGGATGAATAATAAATATTACGCTCTGCCCCGGGAGAATCTCCCACATCCCAAAAATCCCTCAGTGATCAATAGTTATGCTTTTTTTAATCATCAGAACAAGTTTTTGAGACTGTTTCAGAAGAGAAACTGTTTCCGCTGTCAGAAAGATCAGACACAGATTTAAAGCAATTGGCAAAGGAAGTAGAAGAATGGAGATGAGACTTCGAGTTGTTAAGATCTGGAATGCACTGCCTGAAAGACCGAGTCAGTAGCAGCCTACTGAAGGGAATTGAATAAATACTTCAAAAGGAAAAGAAATGCAGGGCAATGGGAGAAATGCAGGGCAAGGGCCAGCTCTTTCAAAGAGCCAGCACATGCCTGATGGGTCCAGTGGTATCCATAATTCTGTGTGTAGAATCACATTAAGGTCAGACCAGGAGGACATTGACTATTCATTTGGGTCTTTTTTTGCAATCTGGCAGTTTGCACGGTAATTTCCTTCATCTGTTGCTAGTCCATTAATTACCAGATAGTTTTGAATCAGTCCCAGAAATTATGAAGATGTAATTTGAACTCTCACACCTCTACTGCAGTGCTGAAATCACTAAGTCAGCACATGCTCAAATAATTGTATAAGGAAAGCAATTACTGACCCGGCAGACAATATATGATAACTCAAAATTCACAACCAGTTCTTGACACTGTGGAATACATACTTATTACATTTTAGAATGTGAGTAAAATAAGTCCTAAGATACAAGGTAAAATGATTCTTGCATAACGTATTTTAAATACTGAGATTATATGATAATTCATTGAATCCCTACAGTGTGGAAACAGGCCATTTGGCCCAACAAGTCCACGCAGGTTCTCCGAAGAGTATCCCACCCAGACTTACCTCAGCACACCCCCCAAACCTTATCCCTTTAACACTGCGTTTCCCATGGTTAATCAAACTAACCTACACACCCCTGGACACTATGGGCAATTTAGCATGGCCAATCCACCTATCCTGCATATCTTTGGACTATGGGAGGAAACCAGAACACCCAGAGGAAACTCATGCAAACACGGGGAGAATGTGCAAACTCCACACAGACAGTCACCCAAGCCTGGAATTGAACGTAAGTCCCTAGCACTGTGAGGCAGCACTGCTAACCACTGATCCACTGTGCCGCTCCTGAAAGCAAGTGCCTCAAATATTCTGGTGGCCAGATAGTTATCAGAGTAGTGCAGATTGGATTTGTGCTTTGAAACAACTATGTGGGATTCCAGAAGCAGCAAACTCTGTGTGAATTACCCAGGTAGTTGAAGATTCCGATAGGCAATTCCCACTGAAGTCCTCCGAAAGAATCCGTTAAAGTCAGAGAATTCAGCACGTTTTGCTTCCGTTAATAGTTACCCAGGAAATTTAGTCAATTAAAAACTTAGTCAATATCCTAAGTATTAAGCTGACCACCTAAGTATTAAGCTGACTACCCACCCCCACAACTTATCACACTTGCCTTACACTTTCCCAGATTCTACAGCCACTAACGAGGTTCCCCCCATAGCCCCTCTCCAAACCCACTTGTCACCAGCCTGAAACCACTTTTGCTAGCTGGTTTATACCCTCAGAATCTGACACCCCATTTTCCTGCTATCCTGAGCTCCTAACACCCCTTCACCTATCAGCCCTGACACACCTCTATCATTACCACTGGTCTTGATATTCATCTGCTGTCCACCCAGCCCTGCCAGCCTCAACATACATCTTAGGCACTGCCAGCCCAAGCATATCTCCCCGCTGTGGCTGGCTTCGTCACCCTTACCCCCTCACTCCAAACGCATTCACATAAAACCCCTAACCACTATCCCCCAGTTGACCCCAGCCTGGGCACCATACCAACCTGGCAACCTGCCCATCTAGCTCCCTTACCTCTTAACCAACTGCCATCCTAACCCACACTTATTTTGCATCCTACCGTTTTACGTGGAGGTGCTGGTGTTGGACTGGGGTGGGCAAGGTCAGAAATCATATGACACCAGGTTATAGTCCAACAGATTTATTGAAAACACGACTTTTCGGAGTCTTACTCCTTCTTCAGCTGTTAGTGAGAGAGGTTGCATCGGACACAGAATTTATAAGTAAAAGATCAAAGGGTCACACCACCGCTGAGGATGTACTAAACAAACCTACGATGCTGTTAAATCTTTAATCAGTTAGAAAGTTTTAATTGGTTAATACATATATGTAAATCTCCGAATTCCCTTGAAGTCACTGTCCTGAGAGAACTAAAGGTTTTATCAGTGTAAAGAAGAGGTAACATTTTAGGTCAGACAATGCATGTTAGGTGTGAGGCCTTGTTTAGAATCTGTTTGTGTTTTGGTTTGGAGTCAGACTGATTATATTTCTAAAGTGGGAATTTATAAAATGCCACATTGACTGACTGTCTACAAATTGTGTGCTTTTTGAACAAAATAGAATGTTTCTGCAAATACAAATTCACCCCATTCACATACTTACACACTCACACAGACCCTCTCTCATACACACTCTCTCTGTCACATACATACTGATCCACACACACTCACAATTTCTTTTTTTCAAGCACATGTGTGAACAAACACACTCACATACACACACTCCCTCTCTCACACACACACTCTCTGTCACACACACATACTGCCTCCCTCACACACAATCACTCTCTCTCTCCCTCTCCCCAATCTCTCTCAAATACACACGCGCGCGCACACACACACACACACACTCTCCCCGCCCCCCCCCCACCACACACACTTTCTCTGTCCCCCCACCCTTCTCTCTCTCTCACACTCACACACACACACACACACCCATATAAATCTATAGGGTGAAATTACATTTGCAGATTTGTAATTGCAGATATATCCTATTTTGTTCAAAAAGCACACAATTTGTAGACAGTCAGTGTGGCATTTTATAAATTCCTACTTTGGAAATAAAACCAGTCTGACTCCAAGTTAATACACACCTAGATTCAAAACAAGGCCTCATACCTAAAATGCATTGTCCGACCTGAGATGTCACCTCTGGTACACTGATAAAACCTTTAGTTATCTCAGAGCAGTGACTTTAAAAAAATGTTGTGATTTGCATATTAATCTGTTCTAACTGATTAAAGATTTGACAGCCATCTTAGGTTTGTTTGATACGTTCGCATCAGTTCTATGATGCTTTGATCTTTTGATAATAAATTCTGTGTCCAATGCCACCTTTCACTAACACTTGAAGAAGGAGCAAGACTCTGAATGCTTGTGTCTTCAAATAAACCTGTTGGACTATAACCTGGTGTTTTGACCTTCCTTCCTGATAGGCATAACCCTATAATTCTGAAAGCATTCTTGTCATGAGCAAGTCCCATCCCTTTCTGATACAAGAGTCTACATATGTATTTTCCAGCTGGATTCTCTAGAAAGCACTAAGACGTGAAAATCTGCCTGATTTGTTTCCATTTGCTGTCCCAGGGGTGTTCAGTTTGATTGCAGTAATCCAGCTGGAGTAGCAAAACAGACGATGAGCTGAGCTAGGAACCTTCTTACTTATGTTGTGCAGTTTTATAATGCTTCATTGGTAATAATTTATATATATATATTGCTTATTTCTGAAATAAAAATAATAACTATGAAAAATTAAATGGGTTTGAATCATTTATTTAATTGGATGGGTCACTTCCTGCCTTATGTTTGTTTTACAGGTTATTACCAAGTTGCAGATTTTAACACCGTTAGAAATTATTATGCCAAATACCGCTTGTGATAAAGGAAGTGGGACTAAGCTGTTTACTCTTATCACAGAAAATTTTAAAGTAGGAATGGTATAGTCTGTCAACAGTATTTATTCTGTGTTTAGGTTTTGGACATAATAATTGTTTTACAATATCTCTACAATTCTGTGAGATTTCTAACCTAATCCAGTTCTGCCATCTTGCTGACTGCTTTTGTATCACTATTGGCAACCATACATCAGCCAACTGAAATTGCTGTGACCACCCAGCTCCTTATCCTCCCTTAATGATGAAGAGAAACTATGGGACACTGTCTCAGGATAATGATAGTATTGAATGGCAGAGCAGGCTCAATGAATTGTGTGGCATTCTCTTGCTCCTGTTTTCTCCCACATGAACTTTGGGCTTGAGGGTTCTGTCAGCTGTTGGCCTCCAGTAGTATCCAGGAGCCCTGATGGCAGGGGAGAGGTACATACCCAACCCATCCCCTGATCCTAAAGATCCCTAGAGTGGGCAGGTCAGTGCAGGAAGTGTGCTTGGGTCACACATCGAACTCATATAGGAAAGCTGTGTACATTTTCTCATTATAGCAACAAATAACAGTAACTTATACTTATATAGGAACTATAACATTGTAAAATCCTCCTAAGGTACTTCACAGAAGGGTGATCAGTCAAAATGTGACACACTTAAGGGACTGTTATGACAAGGGATCAAAGTGGTAAGCTTTAAGACTCTGCCTTCAAGGGGAGAGAAAGGCAGAGAGACAGAGATTTAAGAACAGAATTTCAGAGCTTAGGGCCTAGGAGTTGAAGTCCTGGAAAAGAATGATGCGGTGATTAAAATGGGGCACGCACAAGGGGGCCAGAATTGGAGGACTGCAGAGATCCTGGAGAGTTGTTGGGGATTGGCGAAATTGCAGAGATGGACATTGAGAGGCTGTCAGGAAGAATGTTAACATCTGACCTTTTATAGTGGATATTAATAATGTATATGGGTTATGTATACAATTTTAATTTAAGAAATGGAATACAAAAATTTGAATGAATTAGAGCACTCGAGAATTTGGTGTTTGAAGTTAGTCTGCAATTGATTACCAAATTGATTGAGTCATAATACATTCTGACTTGTGTGGAAACAGTGAGTACTTTGTTATGCTAAGTTTGCTGGAAATTTTATTGGGAAGCCAAGGCATGGTGTTGTAAATAAAATGCTGATTAAAAGTTGCCAGTTCTTGAATATTTTCCTTTTCTTTCTCACAGAGTGTGGCTCTCAGTACTGTTCAGAGAAAGTACTTTAATGAAACAAAGGGACTGGAATACATTGAGCAGCTTTGCACACCCGAATTCAGCACTGTGCTAATGGAGATTCAGATGAAGTACGGAATTAAGTTAAGAATTAAAGGCATTTGGCCTGCGCACAACACATTCCATTTTACAGTGAGCTTTTACTAATAATTACTTATTTAAGAAAAAAACATGCATTTTTGTAGTGCCTTACAGTATCTCAGGACATTCCAAAGTGCTTTACAGCTTCCGTTGTTTTGGAATGTTGTTGGTACCAATAACATAGATTAAAACAAAAGAGAGATGCAAATAGGACGTAGGAAGCTGGGACACACATTAAAAAGTAGGACCTCAAAGATAGTAATCTCGTGATTACTCCCAGTGCCACATGCTAGCAAGATCAGGAATAGGAGAAGAAACCAAATTAATATATGTAATAGAGGAATGATGTAGGAAGGAGGGATTTTGATTCTTGAGGTATTGAGACTGATTCTGGTGGAGATGAGACCTGTAGAACCTGAACAGGGTGCACCTCAGCAGGACCAGGCCTATATCCTTGCAAGGACATTTAAGGAGGGGTTAAGCTGGAGTGGCAGAGGGACAGAAACTTGAATGGGGAGATATGTGAAGGATCAAAGATGAAAATGAAAGATAGAAAAGTAGAAAGCAAAAATTGAAGGCAGAGGAAAGAATTAGTAGCAACAATTAGGATTAGAGTACAAAAGGAATGGGTAAAAATTTCAAAAAAGACAAGTCTAAAGGTACTATACTTGAATGCATGGAGCATTTGCAATAAATTAGATGAGTTAACAGCACAGTTAGTTGTGAATAGTTATAATATTGCAATTACATTAACCATGGCTCCGGGGTGACCAAGGCTGGGAATTGAACATCAAGCACATTCAATTATTAGGAAGGACACACATAAACAGAAAAGGAAGTGGGGCAGTGTTGTTGATGAAATTGATGAAAATTGTTTAAAAGGTGAAATCAGTGCAATAGTGAGGAAGAATATTAATGCAGGAAATATTGATGTGGCATCTTTTTTGGAGCTAAGAAGCAATAAGCAATGAAAAACAGTAGTGTGAGTTATCTACAGGCCTCCAAGCAGTAGTGGATACCTAGAGGATGGCATTAAACAGGAAATTAAAGATGCGTGCAAGAAGGTAGCTGGAGTATTGTGTGTGATTTTGTCTGCACATAGACTAGGCAAAACACATCTGTAGTAATACTATGGCAGATGAATTCCTGGAATATGTACAAGATTTTGTTTTAGACCAATTCGTTGAAGAGCCAACTAGAGAATAGGCTATTCCAGATTTGACTTTCTGCAGTGAGAAAGGGTTAATTAATAATCTTGTTGTGAGAGGTCCTTTGGGAAAAAGTGACCATAACATGATAGAATTCTTCATTGTGATGTAAAGTAAACCATACAATCTAAATTTGGAATCTAAGTACTAAATCTAAACAAAGGAAACTTACCCAGGTATGAGTGGTGAGTTGGGTTTGATTGACTGAGTAATTTCATTAAAAGGCATGATAGTGGATAGACATGGTTAATATTTAAGGAATGAATGAATGCATGCATTGCAACTGTTATACATTTGTTTTGGATGAAAGAGCACAGTGGCTCAATCATAGTTAACAGAAGAAGGTGTACAAAATGATCAGAGGTATAGATAGAGTGGTCAGCCAGAAACTTTTTCCTAGGGTGGAGGTAACTATTAAGAGGGGGCATAGTTTTAAAGTGAGCAGAGGTAGATATAGGGGAGACGTCAGAGGTAGGTTCTTTACTCAGAGAGTGGTTGGGGCGTGGAATGTATTGCCGGAGAGGGTGGTGGAGTCGGCCTCATTAGGGCCATTTAAGCGACTATTAGATAGGCATATGGATGATAGTGTAAGGTAGGGGTGGAGGTTAGATAGACCTTAGGTTTAGGGTAAAAGTTTGGCACAACATTGTGGGCTGAAGGGCCTGTACTGTGCTGTACTGTTCCATGTTAATTAGATCTCCGCTCTTCTAAACTCTGGAGAGTATGGACCTAGATTACTCAATCAGTCTTCATAAGACAAACACTCCATCTCAACTTGTAATATAACCTCTGTTTTTCTGTTTTTAGGGTAAAAGTTCGCACAACATCATGGGCCGAAGGGCCTGTACTGTGCTGTACTGTTCTATGTTTTGTGTTCTAAGAAGTTGAGGATAGTGTTAAATTCAGAGAAGAGTACCATGCCTGAGGACTGGGTGAAGTTTAGAATTCAGCAAATGAGGACCAATACATTAGATAAAAGGGAAAAGGTTCAGTATGCAAGTAAACGTGCAAGGAAAATTAAAGTGGGTAGTAAAAGCTCCCTTAAGCATGTAAAAAGAAACTATTAGTGAAGACAAATGTAGACTCCTTACAATCTAAAACTGAAGAATTGATGATGAAGTAAAGGAAAGAAGATACAAATAACTTCCCAAAAATGAACACAACATTTTTACTTAGCCAAATTTCATGCTGACTGTGGGGCAGGTCCCTATCACTCCCCATAAGACTGAACCTCTTCCCGGAGGAATTTCACCTGTGCCTGGTCCTTGGTGGAAGACCCAATTTACATCTGGTGACAAGGAATACCATTGCATTGGATAGGTTTTTGTATCTGACAGTGTCGGTGACAATGGTTGCTAAAGGCAGTCTTGCTTGAACCACCTGGTCCAGTCACAATTTAAACACCTCTTTAGAACATCCCTGGGCAGGTTGAGCAGCAAGGCTTGCCATGGGGATAGGTCAGTAACTGTGTAGCAATCTGTTCCACCTGCCTTTTTCAGCCTAAGGTCTACAGTCCTGACTGTGTAAAATGTCACTTGCTCCTGGGAGTCCAGTCTTTCCCTATAATCTGGATGATGTGATCCAGTCTGTTGAGAAAAGGCAATTGATGTTTGCCACTATTAAACCTCCTCAACTGTATCTTGACCTTCTGCTAGACTGTCCTTCAATATCTTGTCCCGATTTGATTTGAAGGAAAGATCTAGGAGGATGATACAATTGAACAACTTCAACTGCACTGATACGGAAAACAGCCTCCCCCCCTTAAGCTTGCTTGTACTCATAAAAGTTCGTGTGTAGTTGTGCCGAGCTACTGCTGCCCCCTAACCCCTTGGCAGTACCTCAAAGATCCACTGCAGCCTTCTTTGAACATCTGCACCTCACGTTCCCAATAAGCTTTCTCACACTGATGTTCCATGACAAATGTTGCCCATTCCCTCACATTGAGGCCTATTTATGCCATAACCAGTTGTGCATCCTCAATCCAGTCTGCAATCATAGAGTCATATAGCACATAAACAGACCCTCTGATCCAACTTGCCAATGCCAACCAAGTTTGCCAAACTAAAGTATCCCACTTGCCTGCATATGGTCCATATCCCTCTAAATCTTTCCTATTTATGTACCTGTCCAAATTTCTTTCAAATGTTGTAACTATACGTGCGATCCTTACTTGGTCTGGGCCACAAGTGACTTCACACCCAAAGCAATGTGGATGAAATGGCCCAGAGAGCCAATCAGTTCAAGGGCATTTGGGGTGGGCAGTGCCACCCAAGTTTCCTGAACGAATTTTTAAAAATCTGGAACGAGTAGGGTGCCTCATGAAGAAAGGTTTGGACAGGCTAGACTGGAGTCTGGAGCATTAAGAGGTGACTGAAACAGAAGATCCTGAGGTGCCTTGGTTGGGTGGCTGCGGAGCTCCTCTTGTGGGAGTATCCAGAACTAGGGGTCAATGTGTAAAGATCAAAGGTCTTCCACTTAAGACAGAGATGAGAATTTCTTTTTATTGTGGAGAGTTGAGTGTCTTTGGAAATGTCTTCCTCAAAAACATGTTGGAAGTAGAGACTTTGAATATTTTTAGGTCAGCGGTAGATAGATTCTTGATAATCAAGGGGGGATCGTGGTGAAAGGTTATCAGGGGCACATGGAAATGTGGAGTAATTAGATCATGATCTATTTGTAAGGAGGAGCAAGCTTGAGGGGCTGAATGGCGTCTTCCCACTTGTATGTTTCAGTGAATTAACAAAGGAGCCAGAGTATGCTTTCTCCTACTGGGTTTAGAGGTTGATACATTGGAAGAGGAGGCAGATGGGCAAATGAAGATTGTGATGCCAGATTGAAGATTGTGAAGAACTAAACCCCCACGTAATGCAAGGTTAGGAGATGAGCAGTTTGTGTTGTACAGGGCCATGTTGACACCACATCTGGAATATTGTGTGTAGTTTTGGTCTCCTTTTCTGAGGAAGGATGTTCTTGCTCTCAAGAGAGTGCAGCAAAGGTTTAGTAGGTTGATTTCAGGGATGTGAGACTGATATATGAGGAGAGATTGACTAGGTTAGGATTATTTTCGCTGGAGTTCAGACAAATGAGGGGGGATCTCACAGAGACTTACAAAATTCTAACAGGACAAGACAGGGTAGATGCAGGGAGGATGTTCCCAATGGTGGTTGTGTCCAGAACCGTGGTCACAGTCTGAGGATTCGGTGTAGACAATTTAGAACGGAGATGAGGAGACATTTCTTCACCCAAAGAGTGGTGAGCAGGGGGAATTCATGACCAGAGGAAGTAATTGATGCCAGAACATTGAATGTATTCAAGAAGCAGCAAGATATAGCACTTAGGGTGAATGGGATCAAAGGTTATCGGGAGGAAGCAGGAATAGGCTATTGAGTCGGACGATTAGCCATGATCGTGATGAATAGCAGAACTGGCTAGGCAGGCTCCTATCTTCTAAGTTTCTATGTGTATGGGCTGAGGTGGTGAAATCACAACCACAAGGGCAGATTAGGTAGAATGTTGAAAGCTTCAAGGGCAGGCTGCTGGGATTAAACAGAGAGAGTAGGACAGGAACCTTGCTAAAAGTATCACCCTGGGAATTAGGAGGAAAGTAGGATGGGAGTGGAAGAGAGGTGAGGGGTGTCTGAATCAGCATCAGACTCTGGAATCCCATTCATTATCAAGAAGCAAAACATAAATTGCTGGAAAAACTCAGCAGGTCTTCTTCTTAAGTTCTGAAGAAGGTCACTAAACCTGAAACATTAACTCTGCTTTCTCACCACAGATGC